ATTTTTACTGCCAAGGACAATTATTGGTATTATTATTATATATATATGCTCGCTCACTCCATTCTAGTACAAGATAGTATCAAAATTTGAGTTTATCTCATAAGTTGTAAAATAGCTTATTTAAACCATTATTAGTGGTCGAGTGATCAACTATGATTTTGAGTGATTATTCAAGAGGCCATAAGTGATTTCTCAACCCCTAATAGAGGTGACTATTGAAACTCTTTTTGGTCACTAGTTTTTAGAGGTGGAAAAAATAGGCCGGGGTAGGCGTGCCAACCCTAACCGGCCTGTAAAAAAGAGGGCTCAAACGATTGAGCCCAACCCGCCAGCAACCCCCGGGCGGGCGGGTTGCACAATGGTAACCCGGCGGCCCGCGGGTTGCTAATTTGTCCTCTTTGCAAAAGGCCCGCAACCCGGGGGTTGCTGGCGGGTTGACCCAAAAAAAAAAATGAAATCTTTTTATTTTTTTCAATTACACTTTTACCCTTGAAATAGCCGTTTTTAGCCGTTGGAGGGGTCTTTTCGTCATTTTCTTTCCCTATTTTTTCTATAAATTGGCCCTAAACTCTCAATTTTTCTCACAACTCAATTCTCTCATTTTCTCATATCTCTATTCTAATCTCTATTCTCTCAACTCTCAGTCTCAATATCATTTATTTCTTAATATTTGTTATCAATTTGATTTTAATTTTTATTAGGTTTTGCAATTTTCAATTCATATTTCCAATTTCCATATTCCAAATCTCTTTCTTTAATTTTTATTTCTTCTACATCATTTTTTTTTTCAACTACAAGTTACAATGGATAGATATTTCTCTCCCTCAATTTCAATGGGAGAAAAACTATTATCCTAGTCCTAGTCCCGCTGATTTTACTATGAATGCAGGAGATTCAAAGTCCCGCTGTCCCAATCCCAGTCTCAGAATTCGATACACCTCAAAATATGCCGTCGATTCCAACAGCGCCCGGTGGTTCTAGAAGTCGTCCTCGTAATCATCGTCCTCGTCCAACTTCATCTCAAGCTGAGGCGGGATCATCAACTGCCGTCGAAAGCAAAAACAGACACACACAGACGTTGGGCGCATTCGACAAGTTTTACGAGACAGAAAATGCGTTCAAGTCAAGAAAGCAAGATGCAAATATGTGCAAATGTTTATAAAGCTGATTCAGGTAATGGTACTAGTACTTTAAAAGCATGCTAATAAACATATTAATCAACATGGAAATAGAGAAAGCAATCAAACTCAAATAACTAATATGGGTACTACTTGGCGTTATAATTCTGATGTATATAGGGAACAGTTAGCTTTATATATTGCTGTATCTGATCAATATTAATATGGCAGAAGATAATATTTTGAAAGATTTGTTCAAAATCATTTTTCAGGATTTAAAAGTTATTCTAAAACTGCAACTAGAAATGATTTAATAAAATTGTTTAAAAAAAGAAATTAGAATTAAAAAATAAATTTCATACTTGTCATATTAGTGTGGCTTAACTGCTGATATTTGAGTGGTAGAGGCTAAACAATATTATATTTGTGTGACTAGTCATTATTTTGAAATGAATTTAAATTAAATAAATCTTTATTAGGATTTAGATTAATGGATGTGGACAAGTGGTTTAGAAATCTAATAAAATTATTGAAGTTTTAGAAGATTATGATATTATTGATAAAGTGATAAGTTTAACTTTAGATAATGCAAGTTCTAATAGTAAAGCTATAGAATTTTTTCAAAATAATTATCTTTATATAATAATTTGAAGTTTTTTCACCAACGTTGTGCATGTCATGTTATTAATTTAGTGGAAAGTGGTATGAAAACAATTAACAAAATATTGATAGAATTAGGGAATCTTAGCTTGGATTACTGGTAGTAATAAAAGAAATGCTGAATTTCAAGAAGCTTGTATAAAATCAATATGTCTCCTAGAACTTTTGCATTAGATATGCCTGTTAGATGGTATAGTACTTATTAATGCTTGATTCATGTTACCTTATGCTAATATAATTAGTTATTTGTAGCAAATAATAGAGGTCTTCATCATTTGGTAGAGAAATGATTGGAAGATAGCTAAAGTATTTCATTTTTTTCTCAAATGTTTTTACCAAGCCACTTTACAACTTTCTGGTGTGTATTATCCTACTAGTCCATTGGTAATACATGCAATTATAAAATTTCCGAGTTATTTACAAAAAACAAAGACAATGAAATTTTACATGCACCATAAAGGCAATGGAAAATTTTTTTTGAAATATTGGAAACCCGTTCCTTTTCTATTGTTTAGGTGCTATATTTGATCCTAGAATTAAATTAGCACGTTTAGAAAATGGTCTTGACAATTTAAGTGAAAATTTACAAAACGAATCATTGTCAATCAAATAGGAGAGGTAAAAATAGTCTTTCGAAGTATATTCCATATAAAAACAGGTATGGGAACCCGCAGTCGCAAAGAGGCGAAATATCCAGAGAAACTGTAGCAGAAGAAACAAATGAAGACTTATTCTCTTGGAATGCACTGAATAGGCCGAAGAGGACCGAGTCCGAAGCACAACCTCCTCTTCCGAAGCACCACCACCACCAACAACAACAACTAATATGCTGTCCTCCATGGAGTGTAGAGTAATGAACTTCAACATATTTGGCAACCCCGAAATGTTTTCAACAGGTCACTTTGATTTTAGAGTATGGAGAGCCAGAAAATGTATTTTTGGTATATCAAGACTTGCCTTTGATGTTTTCGCTGTTCTGTTCCAACCATCTATCCGAACAAACATTTAGTGCAAGTGGAAGGATTTTAAATGAAAGGAGGACTAAACTTGCTTCAAAATGATTGAAGTCCTCACATGTCTTCGAGATTGGGAACGATCGCGCCATCAAGATCAATACGAGGTTATCGACAATGCTTTAGTAGAATCATTTCAATTTTGTAATATGATGATACAGATGAGGGAGGTCCTAGTGAACCACCCCCAATTTAGTTGTTTTGTAAAATGTAATTTGTAAATTAATTGTCAATTATTGCACTCTTTTTTCTTTACCAAGTTTTTCTCCCATTGGGTTTTTCTTGGTGAGGTTTTTAACGAGGCAATAATTGTTGTAATTTCTTATTTTATTTTTTGATAAATGAATAAGTCTAATTTTTCTTATATTACAATTTTATTGTATTAAAATTGAATTAATATTTGAAATGTTAACAAAAAAAAAAAATTGAATTGAATTGAATTATTGATATTTGAAAAGTTAACTAAAAACAATTATATTTATAATTTTTATTTGAAAAGTTAAATTAAAAAAACAAAAAAAATAAAAAAATACAAAAAAAAAAAATCGGGCTAACCCGGCCCGGACCGTGCCTAACCCAGCGGGTTAGGGCTGGCGGGCTGGGCTGGGCCAGCCACTCTCCCTAAATTGGTGGGCCTAACCCGGCCCGCCTTTGTTGGCGGGCGGGTTAAGCCCAGCCCGCCAAAGCATGTAACCCGTCGCGGGCCGGGCCGAGCGGGTTACTTTTCTACTTTTGCTAGTTTTAAATTTTCAGGGGATTAGTGTAGATGATCATAAACTAGTTTAAAGACCCCGATCATAAAAAATAAAAAAAAAAATAGTTTATTTGAAATTCAATAAGCATTTTTTAAAACATGCAACCAAACAATCTAAAAAAATTTCAAAGGTGTTTAATAAACTCTTTTCGACCAATAAATGAGTCTGACAAAGCAAACTTTTAGTGATTTGTTGATTATATAATCTAATATATCATCAATGATGATTCCCTACCTCCGGCTATAATACATGGGTTCATGATTGAAAATAAATTTTTATTATTAAAATATTATTCAAAAGCCCGAATTACATCTTATATCCTTAAGATTGAAAAATATGTTTATTTAAATATTCACAAACTGTTTTCAAAATAAAATCAAGAGAAAACAATTTTTTTTTTCAATTTTCAAAATAAAATATTAAAAAATTGTTTTGAAAAACATTAAACCCATTTTATAAAAGTTCTTGAATTCATTGTTTTGGAAAATTACAAATCATATTTAAAGTTCTCACTCAAGTATAAAGAATGACATAAGAATAACTAAGTTTCAAATCAATGACATGAATAAACATAATGTCTAATTGTGTATACTATGTTATGACCCGAATAGGAGAATTATAAACTACTAATAAATTAATAAAAATAATAATTTAGGAATGTCACATTAGTTACGTGAATTATTTTGTAAAAGAAATTTATAAAAATAGCATATGAAAATTCTTGACTCTAATAAATATAGTATTATGTAATTTTGGAGATATATTTGTAAGAAAATGTAGGTATTTAATAGAAGTTGAATTAATTTAGGTGGAGTAGGTGAAAAAAGGAATTGGAAATGGGAAAGGAGACTGAAGTGCACGCAAATCAAAACGTGATTTTCGCGGGGAACAACACCACTACGTCCGTGCATGACACGTTTATCAAAGAACGTATTGGATACTCTGCCATGCAATTTAAACTTTCTAACTCTTTTTGATTGGTCGTCGCTTCTTACCAAAAATCATGATCTTATTATTGCCTTCTAAAGCCCCTCTTTCCACCCCTCACTTTTCCCTGCTTTTTATAACCCTAAAGTTAAAGTTCAAAATTTTATCAAACCAAGTAGATTTGATTTGCATGAAGTTTTAAGTATCCCCCCGAGGTTAAAGCTTTTTCATCTTTTTTGCATGAATTTAGTTCATACAGAATCTGATTCTGTTATTTGTTTAATGTTAGACAAGACATGAATTATAGTATCTTTATTAGCTTGAATGATAGAGACATTATAATATGAATCAAAATCAAATTTTAAGGATTGACATTTAATTATTTGATAGTTAAGTTACTCCATCTTACTCATTAGTCAAATCTATATTTGCTTTTCTTTTTCGATAATCAATCACATAAAAAGCATCAAAAATTTTTTGGTACCCAATTCCTTTACTACATTCAACATGAACATGACCCACCATCAAAATTACAATTGATTTTTTTTTTTTTTTGTCCACCAACCAACATTACAACATACTAGGGATTACATGAAATATTACGTATCCTTTCAAATATTTTCTGTCCAGGTGCAAGAATAGCCATTGGATCATAGCACGCCTTCCTCTCCACAAATCTTTCCCATTTACCTCCAAAATGTTCCTTCCATTGCTCTTCTGTTTGGTAGTGAGGCAGGTATAACTTGTAATCGAATCCATTTTGGACGCAATAGTCCACAATCTGACGGTTTTGTGACACCATTTTCTCAACCTCTGCACCGTTCGATCCTGTTGGAGAAAATCGGAGCAAGGCAACAAGGTAGAAGACATCTTCTTTTGGTGTCATCACCGACGTACGATTATCCCACCTAATACATTTAAAAAGGAGTAATTAATTAATGGTGTAATTTTTTTTTTATTTTTTATTTTTCACTTAATTGGGTAAGTTTGTAAGAGAACAAACTCCTAGGTGCTTGGTTAGAATTTAACATTATCATAGAATGTGGGCACACCATAGGGACAAATGAGTCAATTACAAAATTGGTAGATGGAGCCCAGACAAATTATGTTGTCATTATAGCTAGGTTGGCGAATAAATATCCTTGTCGTTTCTCAAATGACAGACTGACCATGGAAAGTTACCTCTCTTGTTACCTCCTTTTCCATCAAAAGAGACACCTTTAATGACGCAATTACCCCCCAACCTTCACCAGTCTCAATTTCCCAAAATACCCTTAATCTCCCCGACCCCACTGTATCTTTGTCCCACGGGTCAGGTCAGTACAGTTTTCTTTCTACGTTCGCTTCTACGCTAATGCGCCCCACAGCTGCACCAAACTCCTAACGTCAAGCAAATGGCTAATTAATAGAATCTTTCCATACAGTAGTTCGGATCCGATACAGTACAAACAGTGCAGGGATGTACATTTGGTACAGCTAGGCAGTAATTAAAAAATAAAAACGAATCCTCGCGAGACATGGCTGACCATTGGGAGAAAAAAAAATATTTGACCTGTTTTTAAAAAAATCTTAACCACCGGATTTAAAATACAAAGCAGGTGGTCAGCATATTAGGTGTTTGATTAACAATTGTCTATGGCCCACCAGACGTGAAACATGTCTATTGTCCAATCAGCTCAAAGTAAATTAATTACACTTAACAGGAGAGGAAGTGCTTACTTGCTTCGCAGTAGAGGGTAAATTAACATGGGTCCACCCACGCCATCCTTCAAGATCTTCTTGAATATGGCTTCATCAAATTCCGCTATGTCTGATTTGGCGACGAACATGTTCAACCAAGGGTGAGGAGAGTCCCAAATTCCGTTGGCTTTTGCATGTTCCTCTGCACGCTTTACACGCAAGAGAAAATCCACGTAGCTCAAGTCCACTTGGAATTTCAGCTTCTTGATAAATCTTAGCCATCCAAGTAATCTCTTCACCACCTGTACAAAATCAAGGACAATTATGTCATTTTAAACAGTAGATGAATACTATTCATTGACTTACATATTCCGGAAATTTAAGGAATTTTGGCCATTTTACAAGTTGGGGGGAGGGGGGGGACCAATATTCGTCATCGAAATCTCAATGATCAGCACTAGATGTGGCAATACTGTTTTAACCCTGACAGAGTTATAATATTACGAAAATGAGCCCTCCAGGAAAACGAAGGCAGGAGAAACAGTAGTACCGTGTAACGTCAGTTGCGTGATAAAATAGGGATAAGGCGGGCAATAAGATATTCTCGTGTGTCAGAAAATCCAATGGAAGATACATTACACTGTATAGTCAGTTTTCAAGTCTCGAACCATATATATAATTCCTTCTCTCGGTGTTATGAATGGAGGACGAGAATAAGCCGTCCTCCATCGCTCAACGCTCAACACGTGTTAGTGCAATCTGAGTCTTTTGACTTTATTAGTGTCCGGCGGGACAGTTTGGACCCATGCCCCTCAATCCACGGTCAACATCTTCAAACACGACTCGACGCACTTAGCATCCACCTAGGTCAAAACTCAGTTATCACTCCAAACAACATGGCCCACACTTTCACCACGCCCATAGCTTGTGGCTTAGTGACCCAAAATCCATTTTTATTTTCCTCATAACTCAATTACCGTGATGCAAGAGAGATTGCTTACCGTATCAACTGTGGAAGGGTGGTCACTGTTGTTGTAATGAAGACCGAGTTCAAGACAATAGAGAACTGAGTCAGCGTTTCGAGGTAAGTGAGCCGGGTCGAATCCGTGGTCCGGGTCCAGAGGCACCGAAGGCCATCCGTTAACCGGGTCATCACTGTTAACGAACACGAAGCCTTCCACGTAGTCAAACGACTCGCCGTCTCCTTGACGAGTCACCAGGAACTCAGCGTCCCGAGTAAACTCATCGAACTCGGTATACACCACCCTTATCCATCTCACCTAATTACATTAATAAACAATCAGATCACGTAGCATAAAAGTGTCGTTCATGCACTTGAAACGCACGCTCTAAGAATTTTGGTAAGGAAGAGACAAATTAATATGAAGTAATGAGAAATGTGAAGAATTCTTTGTTAAATTAAGGAAAAAAAATACCCACCATGTCCGGTGCTGACTGTACCAAAACTCTAGCTCTGGTTATGATTCCAAACTGACCAAGACCACCCAGGACACTGAAGAACAATTCACAATTTTTCTTTTCAGAGCAAACTACAACTTCACCTCTTCCAGTTACCACCTCTAACTCGGCAACGTTCGCCGTTTGTGGGCCGTAACGGAAGGCCTGACCACTGACGCCTGCGTTAGATAAAGTTCCACCCACCGTTAAACTCAAATAATCAGTCCACGACCTCGGAGCCAAACCATACTCCTCAATGCACCGTTTTAGGACATCTTCCCATAATGCCCCTCCAGACACATCCACATAGGTTGAACCATTAATTTTCACTTCTTTGAAGTGGTTGTTTTCCGTGGGGCGCATATTTATGAGGAGTCCACGGTCAACCATCGCTTGGCCGTTGATTGAGTGGCCGTTACCCCTCGCCGCCACCGTCAGAGTCGATGACAGTGAAGCCGCTTTGATTACCCTCGCCACGTCATCGGCACCGGAGGGTCTAATTACGGCTAACGGTCTACGAGAATACAGTCCGCCGAAATCGTTATCGGCGGAAGCCGTTCTGTCAATACTGCCTTGGAGGTCCAGAGTCTTGCACATAATTGAAGCCTCGACGGCTGCTTTTGATTCGATGTCGTTTTCGGGAACGAATCTCTCAAGACAAGCTATCATCTTGGCCGGCGAACGAAAATTGAAATGGGTTAAATTGGCCGGTGACCGGTAATCTTGTTTGTTTCTAGGAAAGCTAATAAATGAGAAATAAGCGTTTGTGTGTTGTGTGTTGTGGTTGTGACAGTTGAGAGTTTAGGCTTTAAATAGGAGAAGATTGGGGTGTATTTAGAAATAAAATGTTGTTAATTAAATAATAATGATGGCATGAGTGTAAGTTTCAATAACTCTGTTGACGTTGTGATCCTAACAACACCCTCTGTCTGCCACTTCCACGTATTATTTTTCTATTTTTTTCCTCTTTATATCAATTTTTATGATGATAGCTTATCAACTTTTAATTTGCTTCAATTCTCGCCTCTGGTTTTTTAATTTTGGTTTTATTAATTACTAGTGTTAAAGAAAAGGCATATGATATGATGATGAAAATGAACAAAATTTGCTATAAATGAAATAAATAGTGAAGTTATAGTTTAAACATGTGGAAAGCATTATTATTAATTAATTAAATGTGTTGATATAGTTGAGTGTTATCTAGAAGTCTAAAAGACCCCTATCAACATGCCAACTATTCTCCTCCTCTTCATATATATATAAAAAAAAAAAGAATTAAAATTTAAGACCAAAATAAATCTAAATTTTAAGAGTGGCCCAAGATTTTGTATTTCTTCACGCAGAAGCCCCCCTTAATTCATTTTAGTTAACTAGATAAATATATGTAATTATTATTAATTAGACAAAAAAATGCTGTTTATATAATTATAGATTATTCCTTCATCGGGATGAGGTAAAATGTATCCATCTCTAAGTATTCATATCTTACGGGATTTTGCTTAAAAAATAAGCACCAAGAATTGTTCCTTAAATTTGGTCATATAGCAGACCTAATTGGAGAGCTAGTGGAATAATTGTCATTAATTTTTAATTAAAATAGACTATCAATTGTTGACAATACAACTTAATTCAGTGCTTAGGCTTTTTAATTAAACCATTTATTTAGTTGTGGGTTTACTTTGTTTCTCTTCTAGAGAAATTTATTTAGTTATTATTTTAATACATAGTTTATTTCTTTGTTTATGCTACTCCACTTTGATATTAATTTTGTAAACAAAGAAATGAGATAGGAGGGGTCTGTACTCAGTAGGCGGTTGAGATGCTTGGGTTTTCTTGTACTAAATATTGGTAGAAGATTTAGGGGCACGTATAAAAATATATTGGACTATTTATAAGTCAAAATATAAAGAGCACTCACACTAATAATTAAAAATTAAGTCAACCCATTTTAAAAATGAAGTTGCAAAAATCTCGTGATACTTAAATTGTGACATTATGAAATTGTAACACCTCAAACTTAAGAGTAGACTACACAAGGAAAACAAGAAAAATAAAGGGGGGAGAGAGAGAGAGAGAGTAAGAGATTCAAGGAACNTTGTAATTTGAAGATTAATTAACTTTTGTTGATTTCGTTTTTAGGTAACAGTTGTTATACGAATGAATAACTGTTCCTTAACAATCTTAACATAAAGATCGATTAAATTTTGTTTTGTTTGTTTTCAAGGAAATGTTCATGTACTTTACTAAGATCAAATCGAGGATGATCCTATTGTCAGCCCAACTATGAATATGTGTCATATCTATATTAGTAGAAACAATTTATTTGTGTTGAATATGTTTTCACATATTCAACATAAATGAACTGTTTGAGAGAAAGTTTGTGAGAGAGTGTTGTTGGTATAATATATATATAATTCCAATTAGCATAAAGTTATCTATAGTTGGCATATTTATAAATATATGGACACATATTATTTTTAAATTAAATTGGTGTGATATATATATATATATATATGCCAACAATAGATAACTTTATGCTAATTGGAATTATACACAACAAAAAAGATAACTATCTTAACTAGGAAAGAGAGTTGTTGTTTACAGTTTGAACATTTTTTTATATCATTAATTTGGAGTAGTCTTCTCGTCATTTGTTCTTTATAGGTTTGCCTTTTCTTTCTTTTTAGGGTAAAGTTATAGCTTACCTTAATCGTAATCATAATTATAGAAATGTCTTGGGTACATTACTTTATATTATGCCCAATAAATTTATATAGTTCATACATGATTTTTTTTTTTTTCTCTTACATGTCCAATACTCTTATTTGACAGTGCATTGATTGAAGGATATTTCAGTCCGAAGAAAAAAGTTGGTCTACTCTTCTGATCGGATGAATTTGATTTTTTGGCAGCTAATAATGCAGAGAAACGAGCTTATCCACAAAAAAATTGTTGCCATTTTAGCAGTCTATGTCGAAATATGTGTCTTTGATTAAATTTGACTTTGTTGGAGATGGGACCGTGGAGCCAAATGGAGAAGTTTCTTGTAGACGAAAACTGTTAATCTGGTTTAAATTAATTTAATTATAATGATTGATAATTGCAAGGCATAATCTTTGATTAATGAGAAAAATACAAGATATAATACAGTTATTATATGTATGTCATTGTGATATCCATTTAATCCACGAGGTCCATTGAACACTCTACAAGCATAACGTTTCAAAGTATGTCACAAATGTGATAGATAGACTCAAAGTGGGGCGAATCCAGGAAGTCAATGAAAGAAGCAAATATTATCAACCGTTAGACCAATCCTTTGGGGTTACCATATGATTATTCAAACAAGAATAAATAAACTCGTAATGTTCCTTTCAGTTGCATAATTTATAGAGTTCAAATGTAATCACAACTCTTGATTTTCTTAGTTCTATAATGTCCTAGTTATTATCCCAAACCGGCCTGCTTCTTCATATGTGTGGTTTATTTGGTTTATTTAAATCTTGTTGTAGATTTGCAATAGATTTTCTGATTGAAAAAGTTGACATTATAATGTTACCTCTATTCCAACAGATGCCATTTTACAATCTTTTCCAGGCCACTTAATTAATTGTGTATTATTTACTCTTAGCTTATTGATTGAGACTTGTTCAAAGGCGGCACCATTTTTTATATAATCTGATGGATACCAAAGTTTTCCTCCCTTTGATGTAGACAATTACCAATAAGGGATATTAATTAATCAAATATTATATATGTAATGTGTTCAAATAATTTGACAGAGTTAAACTCATCAAAGAGATGATGATTGAAAGATTTTTGTACTGAGTTCTTCGTTACCTCAACGTCTTAATAATATTATTGGATACACCAAAACCCTGATAAATTTGTTCATAATGTTTCAGGTTCTTTACTTGATAATCTTGATAAATGGCTGAAAGCTACATAAAAGAATATTCGTAGCAAATGGTCCATAGTTCCATATACTATTTTACTAATTCCGAGAGAGAATACAGTACAATATATTGTTTTCATTAAGAAGATTGAATAGTCGTGTGAAAATATAGCGTGATGGCTGCTGAATCACTTTGAAAATGAGGTGATTGCGAGAAGAGAAATTCTAAAAAAATGAGTTGATTTTTGACCAAATTGGTAATGATAGATTTCCTAGGATTTTGTTGATGTTAGGTAGTTAAGATTTGGCTATTTGTTTTGTAATGATTTTAATGAAGTTAGGCAAAGAGGTAAGGTTGTAACAAATATGAATATTGAAAGTCAAGAGAGAAGAGAATCTGATAACGGGGATTTTGTGTGTTTCTTGGGGAAAACAAACACATAAATAAAGTCAAGAACTAAAAAAACATGCTTTCACAAGCAAAAGGATTTGGTCGTGATTGATGAGGTTTTCAAGTTACCAACTTCTTGTATATTATCTCCAATATTTTCAATGGACTGATAATTAGATGTGTTCAAAAGCCACACGATCTTCACCTTTTTTTTTTTATTTATGGGAAGAGATTGTTTTCAAGGAATATATTTTGTCTCCATAGCACAGAAGAGATAGACAAGATGAGTTCCATCAAATGTTATTGTATATGTATTTATTTTCTGTTATGAATATATCGTTAAGAAACATTTAGTTACCAATATTAACCTGATATATGGTATTAATTCTTCATTTCTGCTAATAATTCCTCTATTGAAGGTGTTAAGAATTTAAAACAGATTCAAAATTTGACAATTAATGAATAGCAGCAATCGCTTTGACAATTACAAAAGTTGAGGAGGCTAATATTATGATTAAGATTTTGAAAGTGTAAAAGCAAGATTAGATTGAGAAGATTAGCATGAAGAAGAAGGTATGGATGTAGACATTAGTTTGATCTTCCAAAACTACTTGCGATACGTGATCAAGTTGGTTGATCAGATACTTGACTAATTGGCCTCAGTTGGGATACTGAAATGGACTCAATATCATTTATATAGATTGAGTTACAAAAATTCTTCGTTAATTCAGTAAAAGGTCCTTTTCCTTCAAGATTATGTGAGTCGTAACCAAGAAATTTGCAAGCCTGATGTATCTCTTATTGCATGCGTAGCCATATTATGTTTCGTCAAGATGCATGATTTACTGTTGTCACATTGTCCTCCTTTTCACTTCATCCAAAAAGCATATATTTATCCATTTGAATTAAATCTCATGCTTGCATTTCTATTATTTGTGCACTGACTATGACCAGAACAATTTGACTTTAATTACCACGCGTTATCGGAATTTCAGTTTCTTCTTCAAGAATAAAACCCACATCTGGGAAATTTCAATCAGTCTCATTTTTTAGGAGTTAAATTTATGTTTTTTTTGCTTTCACTTGGAATTTTACTTCATTTGAACCAAATTGGCTCAGAATTAACTAAGCTAATTTTTGTTTTCTCAGTCAACTTTAGTATACCCCATTGCTGTTAAAACCCCAGATTTTTATTTGATGCTTTACAGAGATAGTCAGAGTCCTCAATGATTTAAGGTTCTGAATACATATAAATTTTCTAATTCGTGGGCAAAAAGCAACTCCAAAAGAACTTTTTCTTTTTTCTATGGCTTGTAGGTATTCTTTGGGTCATTATCATGTATGAGAAGTTCTAGGTTTCAGATTCCTTTAATGATAATAAATTTATGGTTTTGGACTGTTGAACTAATTAATATAATGCAATGCATTATCGTTTGTGATGATAAACTATATTGTTAATTAACTTGATCAATATATATATCTTCACAATTCATATAGTTACGGAATGTTTTGGGTAAAAGACGT